TATGCCTCTTCTGCGTTGATGCTGCCTCATAGCAGAAGGAAGTTTGCTGGATATATGATTTGGTCATATTTTAACATTATGACAAAGTATTGAAAATCTTTCTGTAAAATGCAAGTAAGAAATAAATAATTCTCTGATTAACTTCCCTCAGTGAGTGGCTATATGCACCGTACCCCTCAATCAAGTTATAATGTAACAACTTTTTGGATACATATTTTGAATGCAGGATTTGTTCCTTATTTTCTAAAGCAGTTTCATATTGTTTGATTAATTACTGAACATGGAGATAAAGGGAACTTTGAAATTCATACCTTGGAGTATTAACATGTACTCAGGACTAGATGTAAATGTCAGAGAGAAAAAAGATCTAATGAACTCTTTATTGACGAAATACAGTATTGCAGCTGCATAGAATTCTAAATGGTTTGTAGCTAGCATGTGACTTCAAATCAAAATAACCATAGAGATGCTTACTTACTACATGGACTTTCATTCAACATTGATAATGTCTTCTTTTCGGCACTGTAGAAGACATTTGGTGTGCTAGAAGTTGTAGCAGTTGGTCATTTCATTCAGGTTTAGTAGATTTTAGTAAGGTTAGGAAATTGTTCAGGAAAGAAGCTGTGTAGCCATACAAGTATTTTTCTTGCTGGAAAATTACAACACCATAAGTTTTCATTTTCCCTGATGCCTTCCCTGCCATAATAATGGCTTCAGGATTTAAATCCTTTGCTGTTATTGTGACTTCAAAGCCTTAAAACTGCAATTGAATGAAGCAGTTCATCTGTCATTATTCAAATATGAAACAATTATGATGAAATAAAGATAGAATTCCACTGAGAAATACCCCCAATCAATTTTCACTTATATTTAACTAGAAATATAAAATGATACTTAGACAAGTACGTTAGGTAATAAAAACTAGGAACATAAAAATATGAATTGCTGACCTATAACTTATTCATTTCTGAATGTTAGAAGCCCTGTAAATATATTTCACAAATATTGACAAAAGTCTAGGCTTAGCATGGAAAATCATTCCTCGGCTGGTTGGAAAAAGTGACCAACTTCTGTGGGTATTAAGGCCAGATCCACAAAGGGACTTATGCATTGCAATGCTCAGCACTGACCTTTAGGCACCTGGGAAATCACCTAAGCTCCTTGTATGAGGAGAGTTAGGCACCCTGGAATGTGATACGCAAAAGCCAGCACACTAGGCAGGGAGCCACCAGAGTTAGCCAATAGGAGACACCGATGAGAAGGGTGTGTCCTAAGCCTCCCCCCCTTAGGGAGTTTGGCACCTATTTCTGCTTGCAACCCACAACTGGGTGCCCCTCTCCCAGTATCAGGCAGCTCAGGGGCCTAAGTAATTTTTTGCAACTAATACCACATAACCTGGTAGTGGAGGAGGGGAAGAGCAGTATCTTATAACCTTTAGCTCAGTTGTTAGGGTACTCACTTGGAATGTGGAAGATCCCAGGTCAAGTCCCCATTTTGCCTGATGAGAAAAAGGGATTTGAATGGGGAGCTGCTATTAAAATGGAACTCCAATAGGAGAGATTGAGAGTACCTCACATCAGACTATCTCATGGACTAATGGTACTTGGTACAGGCACTGATTTGCACCTCTGATTTTCCCAAGTCAGCTGGGGACAGCTATGAAGCCAGGTTCCAGAAGGACCTGAAACTGCTGTAGAAGAACAGGGCCTCCAGTGACTCCTTCAGTGTTCATGCACGTCTTGAGAGATGAACAACTTCAGGGGACTGAACTCCCTGTTTGTTCTGGAAGGAAAAATCTGCCCTCTGTCACCCCCCTATCCTTCCAATTACAGTATCTGGGCAAAATTCTGCAAGTAGAACCTGTGCAGTTTCTACTTCCCCAGGGTTTTTCAGAAGCTGTGCATGATCTGAGCCCAAGTAATTAAGGAAATCTACATAACAATAAATTGTCCTGTTCAGAAAAGGATGACACACAACTGACAGACTCCCCTTCTCTTTGGTATGAGATTCCCAAATATTGTCACAAATCTCTGTCAGCCCCTGGCATTTTTTTTCAACACTACCAGAGTATTTTTTCCCTCCTGCATCTTTAGATCCTTACATCTTGTAGTTTAATTTGAAAACGTAATTTCTTCCAACCATCCTAAAATTAAATCTGATCACAATTAAAATCCAGTGGTACTGAATACTGAATTTAAAATCTGAGACATAATTAGCTAGAAGCATTTTGGGGTGTATACAACTAATTACTTTAGCACATAATTATTTCTGATTTTACTTTGACAATCATAACTAAAAGCATTTGAAAATGTAGTTTATAATCTTCATTTCTTATACAACAGTTTTTCCACTAGATCTTTTCACTGAATAATATGTAAAATACTGACACCTAATGTTAACTTTCAGTATTATTCATTTAATAAAACTTTTGTATTGAGTTTGTGGAAAATATTTAAAATTAATTGCTGAACTGTAATTTTACTTTAGTAAAATCTTTATAGCCTCTAACATTTTAAACATAAGATGTTTGGATACATTATGGATAAGCAGACACTGAATATATGTAAGAGAATGGGGGTTGTATTTATCCTCAGGGTTCACTAGTGGAAGTAAGAGTGTAAGTCAGAAAAGCTGAAGCATCAAGTGAATTTTGCTGTACCAAACTTCACTCAAATAGAATATACGTCTATGTACATAGAATTAGCTAGTTAATGTTTACCCAGTGGTTTTTAAGTGCCACAGAAGGGCAAAGTCTATAACATTCATTAACAAATTGTTTTCAGGTCATCAGTTGAGTTCTACAGGGAACAGGAAGAAATTTTCCTTCCTCTCCCTGCACGTAGTCCATGATCCAACAAAATATTTAGGCACATGAGGAGTCATATTCAAGTCAATGTGTTGAAAGCGATGCAAATTCTGAAGTACTTTACTAGACTGAGACCACAAACTTGTATCTCCCACTAAACCAAAGGGACCAGTACCTGCTAGTGACTGGTCTTCCAATAGTTATTTAGGACCAGATTCCAACACTCCTACTTACCCTGAGTAGTCTACTTGTTGAGTAGTCCTGCTAAAAATCAGTTGGACTACTTGCTGAGTAAAGTTTTGTTCAGCATGAGTGGTGGTGTCAGAATCTGGCCTTTTAATAGTAAACTTACTAAGCATTATGTGGAGGACAAATTGTGGTTACTCCACAGTATTATCAGCAGTGTGGTTGCTTCACAAGTGCTAGCAGAATTTCTCTTATGTTCTATGCCCTACATCACGTTCAGTAATTCTTTTCATTCACTACACTATATGTGCAATGGTACTTTTCTAATTTCATGACATTATATGCACTCAGTCTTCTCACACCTACAGAATGTCATGATTTTATAGTGAAAATACTTGTCCTTTAATCAAAAATGAAAACAAAGCTGTAACCACTGATGCACAGATACCTGAGCTGCAATTCAGTAAAGCTTCTTTGATTAAAAAGAAACTGTTTTAATGTCATTATAACTGCTATATCATGCTTTAGTAAATCCTGGGGGAAATACAAGAGGCACAGGACCAGAGCTTCAGTGTTTGATCCAGACCTAATACCTAAGGCTTTTGGGGATCCCCCCGCCATGCCCCCTTAATGTAGGAACATCCCCCATTGGTCTTGTTCACTGATGTGCAGAGGTGCGTCAGAATAGGTGGGGGTGTGGATGGCATGCCTAGTGCTTTGGGAATCCCACTTTATGGAATGGCTTTTACCATCCAAAGCAGTTTAGTCCAAAGGCTTCCCTCACTCCTCTTTTGGCTTAAAATTCCAATATAAAGAAGCTCTGAAGTAGCACTAGAGGCTATTTTCAGGAAGTATTGACCAGCATGTGAGATGTGATATTGCCTGTCCTGTTTGGCATACCCTTGAATTACAGATAATCACATATACAAAGTTCTTGTCACATGAGAAAATTTCCCCATTAAACTTAAATCAGTTTTAAAACTGATTTAATTGAACTGGGGCAAATCCCTGTGTGGGTGCTCATATTTGAGTTTAACAGTAGGTTATCTCCTTTTTGTCAGACAGTTGGGTGTGGGCAGCCACACCTAGTGGTCTGAGCACCAGACAGTAGATAGATGCCAGGACCAAAGTCAGAAATCAGAGCAGAGGGTCAGAACCAGGTTACCTGGAATTAGACAAGATAGGAATGGGGCTGGGTCCAGGTCCAAGACAGGCCCAAGCAAGCATAGCAGCTGTCACAGGTAAATACTTTGAACCACCACCAAATTGCTGCTGCTGGGTTTAAGAATGGTCTGCTGACTTTTCCCACCAATCAGCATTGTAGCTAATCATGCAGCCTACTATACAGGCCAGCTGTGCTTGTTAGGTTGCCTAGAGACTGGTTCTGCTGCAGGTCCTGTTTCCTGACATCTTTAACTGAAGCCATTTCCTAACTGACTTCAGCTAACCAGTTAATAAGCCTTATTTAAACCAAAGTAAGTGTTTAAAGTCACAGTTATATAAACCAGTAACTTTCTCATGTAGACAAGCCCTGTCTACATGGGTGCAAATATATTACTCTCCTTGAAGGTCCCTCCCTTCATGTTGCTAAAGTGGTGTAAAGTGGCTGTAATATAATGAGAATTCACCACTTTGGCCTTTTGAGTGAAACAAAAGCTCAAAATGTTTGCTCCATTAGAGATTTCTCAAGCACCAACTAATGACTGTACCAAAAAAAGCAGATTTTCTTTTTAAAATGTACCTATGCATTTATTTAAACAGAATTGATGCTAATTAAAACTGCAAAATAGGTTGCAAACTTTTGGTACATTACTGAAGTAATAAGCCTAATATTTCCATTCTTTGTTATGCATCATATTGTTATAGTACAATGAGATTTTTTTTTTTATTTATTGAAGTCTTCACTTGTTCCTCTTCTCAAGCCTAATGGAATGAAACTATAAACTGTTTTAGAAAAGCCCCATTAAAATGTACAGATCATAAGAACTTGTGGAGTCAAAGTCAAAGCAAAGAGGAAATATTAGCTTTAATAAAAAGTACAGTCTGTTGTAAATAACTATTCAATCACCCCCGCCCCTTTTTTTGTTGTTGTTGCAAATTGCAGTGAATATAGCCTAGTCTACTAGAAGGACAGAATTGCTCAGAAGAATAAATGCATCTTAGTCAGAAATAGATTAAAAGATACAGCTGAGCCATCAATAAGATCAGGATAGTGCAGCATTGTTTGCTGCCTGTTTTGCAGATGTAATTGCAGATCCCAGGATTCCAATAAATCTGTGTACATCATGGAAAGAATTGTAGAGAGGAACTGGGGCAACACGAAGAGCATTTGGTTCTCGCATGTCGCACTGCAAAACAGAAAAGGAACGTTTAATAAATTAATGTCACTTCAAATGTATTTGTCACAAGAAAAAGCTCACCTCTTCCTTGCCTTCATGCGATAACACTAACTAAAAACCAGCCCACCCTCTCTCCCTAAAGTCTGGGTACTGCAAGTTCGAGGAAGAGAGATCCTTTTGTTTGCCAGAAGCTGGGAATGAGTGACAGGGAATGATCACTTGATGATTACCTGTTCTGTTCATTCCCTTTGGGTCACTTGGCACTGTCCACTGTCGGAAGACAGGATACTGGACTAGATGGACCTTTGGTCTGACCCAGTAGGGACATTCTTATATTCTTATGTACATCTTTAAGGTTGAGACAATAAAGATATAATGAATAATAGCATATTACAAGAACCTAGCTGTGGGAGCAAGATTCTGGTCAATGCTTTTACACCTCTCTGGTGAAGTAAAGTGCCTCCAAGGAACATCCCCAATGCAGAAACAACATAGGCAGCACTACACACCCTCTTCCTTCTGTGCAGCCCCTGCAATAGGGGATGTTATGGGGAGTGTCCAGAGCACTCTGAACTCTGGGTATTCTGTGCTGCAGAACTGACTTATGCCAGGATCTACATCGGCCCCTGAAGCAGCCCAGAATTAGGGAAGCACTCATCTGGCAAAAAAGCTATCTTTGCCCCTCACCCATGGGCAACATCTTCTGCACTGTGAATCCTGAGAGGCACAGCACTGAATATGGCCCAGATTCTTGATAAAAAGTATGCACAAAGTACGTGTTATAATAAAGGTACAAATAATGTCACAAGACTTGCTGTGATTTTGAATTTAAATATTTTGCTGAATAGGATAATCTCCTAAAAATGAAACATTACTGTGTCCCAGTGACAAGGCAACAGCATTATGCCCTATGCCCTCTTAAAAGCAGTAGTTCCTGGAATTCCTTGGCAGCACCAAAACACATAAGTGTATTCTGCCTACAAGTATTGCCCTTTGGAAACGCAAGTCACCAGCAGAAATAGATCTACTATATCATTTATATGGCATTAGACTATCATCCCGCCAGCACTTCTAACCTCCAAACACATACCTTAAATACCTTAAATTCAGGCTCTGATACCTTCACTTTTTTTGACCTGTGCTCACTGGTTACCAGCATGATTGGCTTTCAGTTGCCTTGCTATCTGAACTCTAGAATATTTCTCTAAGGAAAATACTGTTTTTTACCTCTCCTATTGTATGTATTGCTAACAACAAGGTTCTGGCTTTTTGCAGATCATTAAAGGAACTGGTTTTATCTGAGAGCTCCTTACTGAGTATTATACATTTTGTAGTGTTTTTGTAATCATGTTGGTCCCAGGGAGAGAGACAAGGTAGGTGAGGTAATATCTTTTATTGAATCAACTTCCGTTGGTAGAAGGGAAAAGCTTTTGAGCTTCACATAGCTCTTCTTCAGATCTAGAGAAAATAACCTTTTAGGTTACTAATAAGTGTCAGTTAGAGGAAGATGATCTTGTGGTTTAAGATATGGGGTTTGGGTTCAAATTTCTGACTCAGCCACAGACTTCCTGAGTGAGCTTTGGGAAGTGACTTCACCTCTCTGTGTCAGGCTTCCCATCTGTAAAATGTTTCTGTTTCTTTCTATTTAGTTTACAAGCTCATTGGGGCAGGGATGGTCTTCTACTATGTACATAGGCAGCACCTTCCACAGTGCAGCCTTGATTAGATCTGTGTGAATTATTGATTTTTCAGATTCAGTTCTGGAGAAAAAAAATCAAAAACAAAACAAAACCTGTTTCGGGGTCAACCCAAACACATTTTAAAAAAATATTTCAATGAATTGAAAAATTGGAAAAAAATAGTTTCCATTTTAGGGAACTTGAACTGTTTGATTTTATATATATATATATATATATATATAAGCAAAGGAAATGAAGGGCAAGATTCACAGGGAGATGTAGGTGCCATTCACAAAACAAAGAGGGTGTAGTGATGCCCTGTTTATACTCACTACTTAGGGCACTAACCTGAGAGAGACTCAGGTTTAAATCCTAGCTCTAGGGCAGGGACTTGAACCCAGGCTTCCTACAGGCAAGATGAGGGCCCTAACTACCACACTATGGGCTACTTTAGGGAGGGCCTCTCTCAATCTTTCCTGTTGAAGCTATTCCATTTTGTATAAATAATTAACGCTCTTCATAGGCACATGACTAGAGCCCAGGTGGTCCCCCTCTCCTCAATGAGCACCCAAGCTATAGTGTCATTTTCCCTTACTGGCATGACCTCCTCCTCCTCTTCAGTTTTGTGAATGGTGCCTACTACCCCTTGTGAATCTAGCTCCCCAAAAAATCAAAATATTTTGGAAATATCAAAATTAACCACTTGGACATTTCTATTTCTTCAACTGAAACAATTTGCCAAAATTAGCACAAATTCATGAAATGTTTCAATTGACCCGAATCTGCATTTTTCAACCAAAAAAAAAAAAAAAAGGTTTCAGCCACAAAATTTCTCCCAGCATTAATGCTAGTCTCAGGTAATGATAATAAATAAATGCTGTGCAGAACATAGAGAAAAAGAATGATGGTCTGGACAGCCTACAGTCTAGCAGATGATCTATAAAATGTGGGTAATAATATCCACTTATATAAATTTATTTCAGAGCTAAAGATGAATTATGAAAATATTTTATTATTCCATTTATTCAGTACATAAAAATCTGAAGGCTTTTCTGAATTAGCCACACCTCTTCAATCAACAGAATTAGCCTGGGAATCCTTCTTGTTGAGATTCCTGGCACTTTCCAAATGGGTTGGAAATAGCCTTCCTTTATAGTAGGTTAACGCTGGAACGTTTCATCTTGAGTGGGAGGAAACAGAGCAGTGATGTATAAAACCAGACTGTTTGTTTATGGTGTCTGTGGGGGCTGAGGAGGAGGGGAAATGTGAAGTGAGGGGGAAGTTATCCAAACATTTCTAAACCTGCAAAAAGAGTTTGTTCAAGTTTAGGGTGAAAAAAATCATATTCTTGTAATCTGAATATTGATAAAGCTTCTCTTTTATTATAAATTAGAAATTTATCCTCTGTAGGCCTGATCCAAAGCCCATTGAAATTAACTGGGGTCTTTCTCAGGTTTTATATGAAATTATACAGGAATAATAACAAAAATGATTAACTCAGTGCAGTAGAGTCATAAAACAAAGCATGGGAAAATCAGCAGCAGGGAAGACTGATTTACTCACAGCTATTCCTCTTTTTTCCAGTTCTTTAAATACAGATTTGATTGGACCAGAAAAAACTAGTGTGAGCTGGCATCCTCTTTCCTCAATCTGAGGTGGTGTGATTATTTTTACAAAGGGTTTCTCTGGATTTGCTTTATCCTCACTGTAGTAATGCTTTATCAGATACTCCAAGTAACCCGTTAGCAGAATGGATTTCCTTCTCAGTGCTTTCATTGTAGTTTGACCAAAGACCTACAAGGATGTAAATAATTAGAAAGATAATCCATTGCTGCAGCTGAAAACAGAAACAATAAAACAGAAATCTTCCAAAGAAGGATGAGGCCATTTTTGTCCTTTTCGATAATTTTAATCATTTCAAGAGCCACAATATTCTGGGGGCTGGATTCTTCTATCTTTAATCATGTTAAGTATTAGCTTTCTCTGTAAGTAGTGCCCCTGGAACCAAGTAGTAACATGCTACCCAGTGTAAATGAGGGTAGCAGAACTGAGCCTTAGAAAATACAAGACTATGTACTTTAAGGGCCAGATGTAAAGGGTCTCCTTATCTGCTGCTGCAATAGTTCTGAGCACATTTACCTATGCCCATGGGAATCTGAACACACAAATCAAGTGGCTAGTAGGGCAGGTATCTGGTTTGTGAATAAATATTGTCCATAAATACTGCAGGCTCCATAGTGCCACTACAATAAAAAATATGGGTGCTGGACCAGGACTAAGAATGAAAATAGCAGTTTCAAAAATCATGGGTCAGGCCCTGGAACATCTTGATATTGGCTTAAAAACCATGAGGTTGGTTTTTTTAAATAATACATTTTGAGTCCATTTTACTTGCCTTCTGGTCTTTGGAGCCTTTAGGATTCATGTTTTTAAGCTTTTCTCCACAACTACGATGTTTGGAAAAAACGGTTTCTTTCTTCTTTTCTAACTTTTAAAAAAAGGCTCTTACCCGACTCCAGGAAATGGTGTTTTAAGACAAACTTCACATTCCACAAGACTCATGATAAGACTGTAATAGGTGGTGACACTACTTAACCCTGCTGCCACACTGAGGGGGACAAACAGTTTTGCCAAAATCTGTGAGGATTAAAAAGGAGGCATGTCTCTCTCACTTCCCCCCCACTGGCAGGGCATATGGGATGACTGAGTTAAGGAGGACAATTGAAAATATGATTTTAAGACCAAGTTTAAAAACAAAACAAAACACAACATTTTGTTTGTGCATGTTGCAGGGCCAAATGACAGAATAAACTTCCAAGTACTGATTGTCCCTGAAAACCAGGTAGTTAAATCTAAGGCCAAATTCTAAATTAATGGAGATATCCTATCTCCTAGAACTGGAAGGGACCTTGAAAGGTCATCAAGTCCAGCCCCCTGCCTTCACTAGCAGGACCAAGTACTGATTTTACCCCAGATCCCTAAGTGGCCCCCTCAAGGATTGAACTCACAACCCTGGGGGGTTTAAGCAAGCTAATGCTCAAACCACTAAGCTATCCCTCCCATCCCCAATGCCATACTCTACATTTTAATTTATGTCATTGCAGCTGATTGTGCCCTCTAATGATTGCAGACTCAAAAATCAGACCCTGAGGGAGAAATTTCAGAATAGTATTTAAATCATACTACATTATAATATGAAAATAAAAAGTATAAAGTGATTACAGGAAGAGATAGCCAAGAGATCCCACTTAATTTACAGCATGCTGTCTCCTCCCTGCTGAATATCCACAGGCCCTTGACTCCAATACTATCATGGGCATGGAGTAACCTGGCCTAAACACAGCTGAAATGCCACATCTCCTGTATGCAGCGGTGTGCAAGATGTGGCTGGTCAAGCAGAGACCTTGCAGTGAGATACTGCTGCAGTGGAGGTGGATATAGAATGTGAAAGGGGCAGGAATGGATCAGCATCTGCATGGATGGAAAACCTAAAACTAGAACTGCTCCTGTGCAGGAGGTATACAAAAGACTTTGCTGGAGCTACTGGGTTTACAGGATGAGGAGGATTCTTGATCCCTCTTTTAGGTTGCTGGTAGAAAGCCTAGTTACTTGGTTTGGTTCAAGGAATATTTGCCGTCTGAGTGGACTTTTTCAAAAAGTTTTTTTTTTTAATGTGGCCATGGAGATCTTCCCACCACACGCACTTTAATCCATAAAAGGGAACAGCTAGTGCCATAACAGTCACTTTAAGCATTATTGAGGCTTCAGCACTTGCAGTTTTCATTGTTTCCATTGGAAACACTGCCTTCTGCTTAATGTGTCCCAGTGCAGGATGGCATACAATTTCACAAGCCATCTCTTGCCAGACATGGAAACTATTCTGTTTCCCACTGTCCTAGAGCAATTAGCACTGGGAAATCCTGTCTGTGCCAAAAGGGTAATGCAGGCATGAAAAGGGGAGACAGTGGAATATGATCAGCTAGCGCTCTTTGAGACTCCCTGAGGTGGGCTAAATTACATTCACCCACACAAACTGGAGCAGTGACAATCTGGGTCATAGCAGAGCTGCTTTTAGCTTATCTCTAAGGTCACTTAAAGTTTAAAAATATATTGAATGTTTAAGGACTAACAGAATAAATTGTCAAACAGAACAAGAAGTATTTCTGTGACCTTTTGCAGTCCTTCAGTTTAGTATGTAATGCTGGAGAGAAAAGATAGCCTCAGCTGGCAATTTTCTGACTTTAATGGTTTGTTTTGTACATGTCTAAGATACTTTTGTTTTTCATAACAAACAGATGAAAAGATAAGTGTGAGGGGGTTGGTTTTTTGTTCCAGAATTGGCTTCACCAGTACAACTAGTGCTAATAAAATGATTTTGGAAACTATTTTTAAAAATTATACCCTGTTCAGACTGGCCACAGAACATTGCTAACCAAGATTGTTTTAATCTGATTTTTAAAAACAGTTTCTGAAGTTTGAGAGTATTGCAGCATAGAGAAAGCTATGCATAACTGCACCTTTCATCAAATGATCCCTGAGTGATTGAGAATCATTTGTACAGGGATACATTCACCCATCACAGAAATGCAGCCATGTCTGGAGATGAAATGTGGCAATATGCGACTGCACCACCACATAGGACATCTAAAGGGGTTCTGAATGTTTTCCTAAATGGGCTGAATTCTGCTCTCAACATCTGATCATGGGACCTTCTGTGCATGGATTATTCCCATTCTACCATCATGGAAAAAATTTCCCTTCCCATGGCCTTCAGAGGGGGCACTCTACTGGTTCAGGAATTAATACAGGAGGATATAGTATGGAGTGTGGGGGACAGGGAGATGCAAATCATCCTTCCACTACTCTGATGTACTTCCCAAGTAAACTAACAGCCCCAGGCTGTAATTCCTTTCCACCCCCAAACCCTGTAGTGGTAATCCCTCTTTGAGGAAGGCTCCAAAGGCCAGATACCAGCTGCTGAAGTTCTGCTGCCAGGGAATAAAGGAGATGGATTCCCAGAGCTAGTTCAACCACCCAAGATCCATGACACTGAGTGGCCAGATCCTGTTTCTTCCATATTGAACAAACCTTACTCTCCTGACAAAAGAATTAAGAAGAAACGGTGTGTCGAGTTTCCTGCAGTTTTCATAGGTAAACTGCAGTGAGGCACAATCTGCCCATCAGTTACACTGGTGTCAATCTGGAGGAACTCCACTGAAAACAGCGAAGTAAGCTGAAGTCAGAAGGAGACAGTCTGGAGCTAGAGGTGAGTAACTGAGAGCAGAATTTGGCCCTGCATATTCAGGACATTGAATCATTTGAAGTGAAATGTCAAACCAGGCAAGTCCAATGAAGCCTGAAATCAAATAAAATCTTGCTTGATTCTGGGTTTTGAGTCCCACCAACAAATACTGCCAAGATTCATTTTATTCTTTTGGCAGAGGCAGATAAAATGATTCTGTTAAAAATCTCATCTGGAAAAGTTCAGTTTTACCACAATGATTTTGTACCCATCTGGTGAGTTTCCATCAATTTTGTTTTATTTTCATCTTGAGTTCTTGTATTCAGATCAACCCAAAATGTAAAACAAGTGTGGGGTTGCCAATAGAAAGGTTTGTGAAAAGTCAACCATATCTCTCATAACCACATGTAGTCCTGGTCTAAATTTTACATTTTTAAAGAAAGACAATATTGATGAAAAATCTAAGATTCCATTCTACAATTTGTAGATTCTTAAAATTCATAGTCATAAGAAATATAACTACCTACCTCTAAACTAGCATGCAGTGCACAAACCAATAAAATTGGAGGATTTGATAACCGAAATCCATTGATTCCAGGACTTAGTTGCAATTCTGGAAAATGAATAACTTCTGTTAGTTTTATTTTTTTATTTGTTTTATTCATTCAATTAAAACTTTCATTACAGTCAGTGGGACCTTACGATTTGGTTCATTATCAGAGAACATGTTTACTCCACTTGTAGCTACTATTCTTCACATTGGAAGTACTCAAATTTTATCAACTGAAGGTTACATCAGCAGCTTTCCAAGAGCCAGAGGACTGCAATTAATTTTCATGTAATTGAACATATTAAAATTGCCTTTAGGCCTGATTCCCTTCTCACACTGGTGTAAACTACAAGCATCTGTATTGAAGTCAATGCAGTATAAAAGGAGTACAAAACCACAGTAATTGAGAGGAGACTCAAGCTTTTCATCTTAAATATGAATAAGTGGCTTGTGGAGACTGCAGATTGCAGTGGTCCATCTTGAGCTAAACAAAGTCCACTTGGATCAAATGGAATATCACATACAAGGCACATATAGTGTCCATAAACCCTTTTAGGCCACTACAGAACTTGGGGGGGCAATTGACTTCCAGGCCAGATTTTGGTTACCACTGCTTTAGGCTTTGAAATTTCATGTGATCTGTCTTATCTTTGCAGTGCAAGCACCAGAGCTCTTTAAATGGAAGGGAGCACCTCTCACTCACTGTGAGAACTTACTAAACTCATCTTCCTCCTGTGAACTGCCCCTACAAAATGACTTCAAGACTAGCCTTTTGTGAGTAGGAACCCAAAGGAGAGGGAGTGGAGAATGTCTGAGGTGACAGATTTCATTTTTTATGCTTTAGAAGATGACATGTCTGATGATGGCTCTCCAGCAAGACTAGCCCAGTCTCTCTCTATACTTTTGGCCAGAATCCTTGCAGTATCTCAAAGAGAGGACTGAGGCCAGCAGTATTGACCCAAAGTCACACTGGCAAGGACTCACATAGCAAAGCCACAAAGCAAGATTCTAACCCTCCTGCAGGCTGAGGTCTCCTCTAAGTTGGGGTTGGAGGAGAGACTGACCTCCAGATTTGTTAAGTACTCCTTTGTGTCCATGCACAAGGCTAGAACACAGACATTTCACTTCTTTTGAAACAGGTGATTGTTTTATTTTATACCTCATTAAGTTCTAGCTTGGAGTAGTAAAGCCAAAATAGATGGCTGTTTTCAGTTAGGGCCAAATTCTGCCCCCTTCATTCATGTTTCCCATTCATTCCAATGGAATTACTCCCACCATAAAGTATTACTTAATATGAAGAAGGAAACCTAGTAGGGTAAGTCAGGTGCTTTTGAAAATTTTACCCATAGTACAAGTTTGAATTTTTGAAAGGCCTTTTTGGTGCATTTGTTTGAGCAAACCATCCTGAAGCAAACAACTAGATTGACATGACAGTAGAGCAAATTCATTACATATGTTACTTCATTGCCTTCAGTGAAGCTGCACAACATCAGGGATGAATTTGGCCATAATAGGTTTAACACCAGTGAGCAAATATAAAGTCTTATCATTTCTATTCAAAATAATGGTGAACAGCGATGAATGCAAGTTCTAAATCATGTGACATATTTAAAGAAGTATACATACTGTTTTCCATGAGAAATCTAGTTTTGAATTCATGACCCCACCAGCCTATTAGCCTAAAACATAACATGGAAAAAAAACTGAAAAAAACAACAAAATCTTGCATTGATATATTTTAAATCTGACATGAGAGTTACTAAATAGCTTCTGATACACTAATCAAATAGTATCAGAAATACAGTAAGTTATGTGGTTAGCTGGCATTAACAACTTATTTATGTGACTTGGCAATTTCTGTTTAACGCTGAAAGATGATATTTATGATAGTTTTCAAACAATCAATCTATTGGGACTCTATTAATGTTCATTTTGTCTAAATTCATCTTACAAACTGAAAAATAAAGCAGAAATATTTCCAGTGTTATGTTCCTAATGGCTAAAAGGACAAACACAAATCTGCTTTGGTAAATACTGAAAACCAAAGGACATTATAAATCTGACGTAAATCCACAAAAGCAAAGATATGAACAGCAAACAAAAGATAGACAAAGAGGCCTTTGAGTAAAGGTTGCAGTTGTTTCATCATTCCATTGCAATGTTGTGCTGATGTGAATCCCAACCTGGCAATAAGATTTCAGATTATGAAACTGGGTTTATTACTCAATAATATGACTCCTTTTTTAATGAAATTTAGTCCGATTTAATTCATAACTATATTTTTGAGACAATATTCTGAAGACATTTCAGTGTGGTTTTTTTCTTCCAAAATAAAAATATTGCAGAAATTTAAATAAAATATGAAATTTTTCATCAAATATGTTGCAGTGACCTAGTATTTACTATGAGCCAGCTCATGGCCCAGCTCATGTGGTCATACAAGGATATGAGGGGAGTAAGGCAATCTCACCTTACCTCGTGTGTGGTCTCTGTAGACCTGGGGTCTTAGCACAAAGGGTTAAACTGGTGCTGGGTACCCAATACACATCTCTAAGCAACTAGGTGGCTTTGTTTTCTGTGGCTCCATCTTCACCATGCCAGCCAGCACAGTTGAGCTATCATTGTGTTGAAGGCTAGAGTGTGTGTGTAATTTGCTGCTAGCAAGAGCTAGTAGCAAATTACTTTCCCCTGGAGCAAACAAGGAGGGAAGGAAGGGTGCTTCTCTGCACTACTCCTGGAAAGGCCTAGCCACATGCTGCCAATTAAAAAGGCCAAACTGTAAAAGTCCAATATAGACAGGACTAGATCGGTTAGTCACACTGTATGTAAAGAATTGTTATACAAACTATATACAGTGCCAAGTAAAATGCTTACTTGTTATTTCTGGATAATTTCACCCCTATGAATAGATCCATCACTCTCATCTCATTGTATTATATAAAGCAGACATGTGAAATAATATATAGCTAAAGAATAGTCTTACTATTCAAAGTCACATGGAAATCAACAATGAAATCATCCATTCATTTCAATGAAATTTTTGTCAAAAATAATATATTTCTAATAAAACATAATAAAAGCTATTGCCCAAATAACTCAGATGCTGGTGCTTTGAATAATAAAAAAATCATCATCAACTGTTTTATAGTATTTTACAGTATCTTTCCTCTATAATAGTTTACCATCAAACACAATATTACACAATGATATTATAATAAAATCCCATTGAAATTAATGGTGCAAGTATTCCATTCATTCCAATAGGCTTAGCATAGCAAAAAAAAAAAACCCCAACTATGAAGTATACTACCTAGAATAATAGTGTGTAGTAAGGTTAAAAAAATACTAAAGAGCAATTTACTTGCTGGGCCATGCCATGCACTCATTCCTCAGGCAACAGAAGTCAACGGAGACCCATAGACATCATCAGGAGTACTGTCCAAGTAAAGAATGATGAAGGACTACAGTCCTGGACTTCAGGTTGTAGTTCAGGTGAGACTCCAAAAGCTTGGTGTTGTATCTAAACTTATTGACTCTGTGCAACTGGCCTAGAACTGGACCTGTGGTTCATCATGTCTAGAACTTGGAAACTGAAATTGCAGAAATTGACTAAAGTTTGTTGATAGAAATGCATGAAATTTAAAGGTGGTGTAATTTTTTTTAAATCGTTTTGCCTGTCCCTACACTGAAACACTGACAAGCTACATTTCTTTTTGCTGTTCTAGAACTCCATGGGCATCATACATGATGGATGTTTAGATACAATTCTGGTTCTATACCATCATCAATCCAATTTTTCCTATGGATGTCATTTGTTTCCTGTACGATATGTCAATAAGATTCAAAGAGGTTTTATATTTATACACACACACACACACACACACACACACACACACACACACAATCTTTATAAATTAGCAATTAACAGTTAATAATTTTCTGTGAAAAAAATTGAAATCACGGCTGCCACTGGTATGCCAAATTTCAACCTGTTATGATGTGAAATAGCTGAGGTTATAAATCCTAAATATAAGGGTTTATAAATGCACAGTAAAAATAATAGGCAGTAAAATTGCACAGTAAGATGAGGTAGTAAAATTTCTTATTAAAGAGTAGCTACTCTGCATGCAAAGTGGATATCCCGAAAGGCATTAATTATTTCAAATATTCTTGTTTTCAAAATACCAAGGCACCAGTTTATAACTTTCTATTTTAAATCTGAGCCGTGATTTTGGCAAAATCTTGTAATACCAAAATGCGTGAAATGACAAAAAACTTGATTTTTTTTAATGTTCCTGTACTTAAAGTAGTTTGTCCCCAGCCAAGTTGGGGAATTAAATTGTGTTAGGAGAACTAGCTGTTGTAAACCAGGCATGACTGTTTTATAAACCATGATAAAAAATGCTTTTTAGATTAGAGGAGGGACTTGTTCTGGGAACATGCTTTAATAATCTCTATTGGGAATGGACTCTTACTGGACATTTGCACATATGGTTATTTACACATATATGTACAACCAGACTGGAGATTTGTCACATTTTATTATAACACAATTTGAAATGGCCATTCCAGCTTTGTATGTGTATTTGTGTTTCTGATATGTGTTGGATTATTAGCCTTCTGACATCCCACAAACAGCTAGAGATCATACAGCTTCTTAAGATTGCCCTGCCAATATGCTTCAGCACTGAGAACCTCTCAGGGTGAGAAGGTATTTCAGTCCATGGATCAAATGGACATAGAGACTCACAGCTGAGCTTGTCAAAAAGCAGTGCTAATTAGGATCGTGTTTTTTGTGAGAGGTACATGTGATCACATAACTGTACTTAGAGCTAAATAATTTTTTTGTTTTGTTTTTTAAGTAAAAATAATTCCATTAAAAAGGGAAAGCACTTCAGTCCATTTTGTCTCTAAAATAAAGCAGGAATCCTAATATTCCTACAAGAAAGAATATTTTGGGGTATTTTTGCTATCTTCTTAGCTATACACATCACTATTTTTTAAATGTTTAATACGCTGGGTTAATGCACACTGTTACTTGCCCAAGTTCATGACACAAATAAAGCATGTAATTCAAGATCATTAAGCATATTTCATTGGTCTTGTTTTACCCGAAAACATTTTCCCATTTTGCAGATCAAGAAGCATAGACAGCAGATTTATGGAGGGGAAAAAATATGCCAGATAGGCGCATCAGCCTCTCATTTGTTCCTATTTCTTTTAAGCACATTTACACCAGGGAACAATCCCTTCAGTAAGTATTTTTATTTAGCTCAGTTTTTCCCGCATCTCTGTGTGTTAGACAGAAGCGCTGGGCATTCATAACTTGAGTCGTTTCGTTTGTAGTTGCATTAATGATGCAAGAGTGTGGGATATAATGATCACTATGTATGTGCGGTGAAGACATCAAAGAAGATCCAGTTAAAGAACATAGGAGAAATACAAAAAAATTCCTTTGACCTTTGCTTCTAAGTAACAGATGATTATGCAACTCATTTATAATTTACAATCTGAAGAAACATGTGGTTCATTTGCCTTCTTCGGAGGGGGGGGGGGGGACAAACCCTCCCGAAACTGTTGAGCAGTGATACAGAAAACAAGCAAACACTATTAACACAGCCTGACTTTCACAATCCAGGACAAAGCCTTCTATGAACCATTCTGTCATCATATTTTGTGAGAAATCATTTTAAGTGTTCATGGGAAAATATGCTAAAAGATATAACAGGAAAACAACAGTATAGGATTTATGACACTAAATATTAAACTCTCAAACTTCACTATGTATGGAGTATAATGGTCTCCATTTACTAGTCAGATCGCATCCTTGCCTGGAAATGTCTTATGTCTTATTCAGATGATATAGAAATACTATATTATTGGATTTATATAGTTTACCTATGCTTGGCTTTTTAATCCTAATATCTGAATGGATTAAGAAAAGGAAAAAACAAGAAGTAGGCAAACCAAATAAGGAGAAAAATACAAAAGACTTGTCCCTCCCCCTCTACCCTGCCAAATCTTTGCCCATTCTTAAAAGTAAACTTAAGATTTTAAGAATTGAAAACGTTGGATCCTTTCTTTCAACATACCGTCTTCTACTAACCAGATGGGAATGCAACCAGTAATGCAGGAAATCTCATGAGAAAGTCTGGTCTATAGAGCTGATCAAGACATTTCAGAATTCAAAATTCTGATGAAAAAAATATGAAATTTTCACAAAAATATTCCTGTCAATTTTGACAAGCTCAATTGTTCTCACGAGATTTTCAGCCCACTTTTGCTGACCCAAGAGGTGTGCATAGTTTGGAAATGCATCTGAATTTTTAGATTCTTATCTGAAGAGAACAAGAACTCTGAACCTCTTGTGATGCTCCCATCATTAGAAACAATCCTTATTTTCTCACATGATTAACAATTGCTAAGAGGAGGGTTACTTACCTGTAACTGGAGGTTCTTCAGGATGCGTGGTCCCTATCTGTATTCCACTGTGGGCAGTTATGCATGCACATCATGCACCTGGAGTCAGAGAATTTGAAAGTAGTGTCCGTTGGTTGGTGAATATGCCCTGGCTCACCTTGTGTCTCCAACCAAGGTGATAAATGGTGGTGTGGACCGATCACTTCTTCAGTTCCTTTTCCACCGCAAATCAGATAAGATTCAAAGTAGAGGGGAAGGA